CTCTGCACACTCTAAATGCCCCTTTCCTGAGAAAAGTTCTTCCTCAAATCGAACTTTCATTTCCTTAAATCTTCTACTTCAGCTGCGGCAGTTCCATTTCCTGGTGAGGTCCTCAGCAGAGAATGGAACACACATGGGATCAGTAAAATCTTTCTTACTCCAAAATATTGAATTGTGCAGAGGAAAGCAGACTTATGAAGCACCTACCACATGCTCAGGGTCTGACAAGGCATTTCATTCTCACAAAACTCACAGAAGGAGTTGTTATCCTTGTGACAGATAAGGAAACAGAGCCTCCCAGCCCAGGTAACATAGAAGACCCCGCCTCTAAAATAATTTTTTAGCTGGGCACAGTGACTCATGCCTGTAATCCTAGCCCTTTAGGAGGCTGAGGCAGGAGGATCACTTAAGCCCAGGAGTTTGAGGTTGCAGTGAGCTGTGATGATGCCATTGTACTCTAGCCTGGGCAATAGAGCAAGACCCTGTCTCAAAAGTGTTTTTTCTTAAATTAGCCTGGCATGATGGCACACACCTGTAGTCTCAACTACCAGGGAGGCTGAGTAAGGAGGATCACTTGAGTCCAAGAGTTCTAGGTTACAGTGAGCTATGATCACACCATTACATGATATTTATGTTTTCCAACATGTTACCTGCCTGGATGACAGAGCAAGACTGTATCTTTTTTTAAAATGTTTTTAATTTTTTTAATTAAAAAAAAAAGAGGTTTGGAGTTCAATCGGTAGCGGGAGCAGAGAGCAGACCCCAGAGATCCCTGAGTAGCCCTACCGCTGCTGCCAGCCTAGTTACCATCACACATCAGGGGGACTCGCAGGTGCGAATGGCCATCCCAGTCACATGATCACAATCATGAGCAGCGAGGCCAAGACCCAGCAGCCACCCGCCGCCCCTGCCCTCAGTGCTGCTGACACCAAGCCTGGCACCACTGGCAGCAGCACAACAAGTGGTGCTCACATCAGCTGTGCCTGCCTGCGGGGACAAGAAGATGATCGCAAGGAAGGTTTGGGGAACAGTAAAATGGTTCAATGTAAGAATCTGATACAGTTTCATCAACAGGAATGACACCAAGGAAGATGTGTTTGTACACCAGACTGCCATAAAGAAGAGTAACCCCAGGAAGTCGCTTCTCAGTGGAGCAGATGGAGGGACTATGGAGTTTGGTGTTGTTGAAGGAGAAGAGGGTGCCGGGGCAGCAAATGGTAGAGGCCCTGGTGGAATTTCAGTTCAAGGCAGTAAATACACAGCAGATTGTAAGCATTATGGGCGCTATCCATGTCGCAGGGGTCCTCCACATAATTACCAGCAGAATTACCAGAATAGTGACAGCGGGAAAAAGAACAAGGGGTCTGAGAGTGCTCCCGAAGCTCAGGCCCAACAACACTGGCCCTACTGCAGGAGAAGGTTCCCACCTTACTACACACAGAGACCCTATGGGCATCGACCACAGTATTCCAACCCTCCTGTGCAGGGAGAAGGGATGGAGGGTGCTGACAACCAGGGAGCAGGAGAACAAGGTAGACCAGTAAGACAGAATATATATATATATATATATATATATATGAATATATATATCGGGGTTACAGACCACAATTCTACAGGGGACCTTCTTGCCAAAGACAGAGACAGCGCAGAGAGGACGGCAATGAAGAGGATAAAGAGAATCAAGGAGATGAGACCCAAGCTCAGCAGCCACCTCAACAGTACCGTCGCAACTTCAATTACTGACGCAGATGCCCAGAAAACCCTAAACCACAAGATGGCAAAGAGACAAAAGCAGCCGATCCACCAGCTGAGAATTCGCCCACTCCCGAGACTGAGCAGGGTGGGGCTGAGTAAATGCCGCTTACCATCCTCTACCATCATCTGCTTGAGTCATCGGACAAGAAGAAACGAATATGAAATCCCAGCAATAAGAAACGAACAAAAGATTGAAGCTGAAGACCTTAAGGGCTTGCTTTTTGCCCATTGACTGGATAACTACAACTATCTGCATTATCTGTGCAGCATGGGTTTTTATTATTTTTACCTAAAGACTTTTTTTTTGGTAATAACAAACATTTTTGTTTTTGTCTTTTTTAAGCCTGGTTTTTCTCAGTACCCCTTTAAAGGTTTTTAAACTGTTTCATATCAGATAAAGTTGAGATTTTTAAGAATTTCATTTTTAATTTGTAATAAAAGTTTACAACTCGACTTTTTTCTTTTTTCAAACAGTCAACAAACTGCAAGCACCTGTTAACAAAGGTCTTAAATAATTAAAAACAAAAAAGTGGCTTGGAGAGGGTAACCAACTTCTCCAACATTCATAGCCCAATAGATTATGCATTGGATGGCCACGTGCCAGACACTGATGCTGGAAGGCAGACATGAAAATGCAATTTCTGGCCACAAAGAGTTCAGTCAGAGGGAGGAAACAGACAGCCAGAAGCCCACTTCAGCATTACAGGATCCCAGTGTGGCTAAGGCACAGAAGCCCAGAGGGATGTTCAGCATAGGATGGAGGCCTAGGGTAGGTCAGGAATAGGACTGGGGCAGGAGGAGGTGACGGGATTGGCAAGGGCAAAGGCACAGAGCTGTTCCAGAGCCGGAGCAGGCAGGGCAATACTGGCTCATTCAGCTTCACTAGAGCACGAAGCAGTGCATCTAGGGGAGCAGAGCCCAGCAGCAGGAGACAGGAGAGGGGGCATCTTGACTGTCCAGTTAAGGGGTGAGGATGTGATGACAGTCTTCTGAAGAACAGCAGGGAGAGGAGATGGATCGCAGGCCTATTGACAAGACTAAGGTGGCAGCTCCATAAAGGCAAGAAGTAAGGCCGCTTCTTGCTCACCACTGTGTCCCTGCACCTGCTCCAGGAGCGCATTTGCTGAAGGATGAACAAAAGGCCCATTCTCCCCCACAGACAACTGATTGGAGGTGGCAGTGTGGAGAAGAGGATGTGGTGATGATTCCTGAGTCCCTGGGCTGTGTGACTTGGGGAAAGAGGATGGTGGTTAATTCACCAAGATGAGGCACTTAATTAGAGACAGATTTGTTGATATGGAGGAAAGATTCATCCATTCAATTGTCCAGTGTTGCAGACACTGGAGATAAAAGTTTTGAACAAAATAGACAAAAAGCGTTGCCCTCGTGGAACTTCCACTCTACTCAGGGATGGAGATAGCCAATATCAGGTGTTGAAAAGGGATACACGGGAAAGAGATATAGGGCATGGGGGAGGGGCTTGCAATTTTTTAAGAGTGGTCAGAGAAGGCCTCCATAGGAAGGTGACGTTTCATCAAAGGCCTGAAGAAGGGGAGGGAGTGATCTATGTACCTATGGATGGGGGAGTCCAGGCCAAAAAAAAATAGGGCAAGTGCAAAGGCCCTGTGGCAGGAAGCAACCTAACAAGTTCAAGAAACAAGGAAAATGGCTTGATTACAGGCGCAGTGCCTCACACCTGTAATCCCAGCACTATGGGAGACTGAGGAGGGTGGATTGCTTGAGTTCATGAGTTTGAGACCAACCTGAGCAAAAGCGAGACCCCATTTCTACTAAAAAATAGAAAAGCTGAGGCAAGAGGATCACTTGAGCCCAAGAGTTAGCAGTTGCTTGAGCTATGATGCCATGGCATTCTACCCAGGACAACAGCTTGAGACTCTGTCTCATAAAAACAAACAAAAAAACAAAAAAGGCTCAACCCTAACCCTAACCCGCCTCTAGCTTAATGGTTAGGGTGCCGGCCACATACACAGTGGCTGGTGGTTTCAAACATGGCCTGGGCCTGCTAAATGACAATGACAACTATAACAAAAAAGTAGCTGGGCATTGTGGAGGGTGCATGTAGTCCCAGCTACTTGGAAGGCTGAGGCAAGAGAATCACTTAAGCCCAAGAGTTAGAGGTTGCTGTGAGTTGTAATGCCACGGCACTCTACCGAGGGCAGCATAGTGAGACTCTGTCTCAAAAAACAAAAAAGAAAAAAAGACTTAGTGTAACAGAACCATTGTGAGTAAACATTACTAATCTTTATTTTTTTTT